TCTTTTGGCACATCTGACGCATCATCAAACAGATTCACAGGTGTAAATTTAAAATGGTGCCAAACATCGAGTAAAGTAAAAGGAAGACATCCTATTGATAAAGCTTCTGCTTTCGTAACCTGTCCTTCTTTTGGAAGAAGAGAGTTTATATAAAGCTTCAATGCCGGTATAAAACCAGGTGCATTATGAGAATTTGCAATTGCATTAAGACTTTTTTTTGTCTCATGTGGGTGTTTAGCTATTCGGATGTTGGTCTGCAGCAATGTTTTGGTATTAGCATTACTAGTACTGGCAGGAGTAGCAGTGGCGGCTCTTTGATCACTGTTCGGAATCTGTCTCTTTTTCAACCCAAGTTTGGCAACATCAAGCTTCAGAGTAATATCATTTTTCTGTGCACCCTGATTGGTACTAGTAGAATTAATCCAGTTTCTATAAAAATCAAATGACAATATTTTTTCTTGTCTTGAAAGCCACTGGGTCATCTGAGGGAAGTGATGCGTTTATTGGTGGCATCCCAGGCTTCTTTTGCCATGTCTATATGGAAACGCTCAAATGCTTCTGTGTTGTAGTTATCAGTTGTGCCAAGCCACTTGATGGAATTTACATAATGAAGCAGAGAATGGAATTGGGAATGTTGATTTGATCTTTGGTAGTCTGTTGTTACAAAGTAAGCCTTATTTTTGTGCCAGACATTTAGTTCTAAATCCATATAGCCAAGGGTATCCTCATCATGTGAAGGATACTGAGCAAGGTGTATGAAATTCAACAAGGCTTTGCAAGCTACGATTCCCCTTTGGTCAACTTTGCCTGTTAGAGATGCAAGAGGATACTGCTATGTGCTTATGCTCAGTTCCAGTTACCTGGCTGAAATCTGCTATCCCCTTTTTGAAATGACGTACTCCACATGTAGGCGGTAGGACTTGGAATCCTATCAAGTTCATTTTCACCTACAATTTCTTGCACCCATTTAAGTAGATGCTTGAATACTCCCTGATAACACTGGTGGAGAATATCAGGGGTATGCAATCATGAATGTCCGTTAGAGGAAAGTCTTTCCAAAAAGGTTCAATTCCCCAGCAACATCATGCTTCATAGCAAGGGTATGTGCCGAACTCTTGCTTTTTCGGTGGAATTTGAATCTTGGCCCGGAGTAGCCTTCTGATTAGCTACTGAAGTATCATGAGCTTCTTTCATTATTCCTAGGGTCCATAACACGTCCGAGAATCCCCAGCACTGGCAAGACCCAAGTCATTTGCCTTTCGCTGGCACTTTGGACAGGTGCCATACTTTGTGCATGTTACGAGACATTGTTCGGGATAGTCTGCAACATATGTACAGAGCAGAGGATAGACTTTCCTCACATTGCCATCGCCTCCAACCATTTCTATCCCCCCTGTTTTTGGATTTCCAGCAGATTTTAATGGTTCCAGCACATGAGCCATAGAACAATGAAAAATTTCATACTTTGTAATTTAAGATCTTTTTTTGTAAGGCCTTGTTTATTCGGCTTATCGACCAGAGATAAGCAATAAGGACACATGCCCGGGCACTGGGCTTCCTCCTTAAAGCCTTGGGCAAATTGCCAATTGTGAGATATACCGGGTACGCCGATTTGTTCCCTGAGAATCTGGTCAGATTTGTTTTATCAGAGGCTATAATCACAGGACAGACTGTCCCTCCAACTGGAATTGCATGCTAGGTTTTGAATTGAGATTTGCAAGAAGTGGCAGCCGACGGATAAGTTCAATTACACACCTGCACTGCATTCCAAAAACCCGTAGTCCACATCTCAGAGTAGATACATTGTTTTCAGTCTGTTCTGCCCCACAAAAAGCTTTCCTGGTTTGTACACCAAGTGTTCAGCAAAGGCAGGATCACCCCAGAGGCTTTGATTGCTTCAACTGGGTCCCGATGATACACAGTGAAATGTTCACCAGGTTTATCACGGAATGATAATTGTTTAGTCCGCCATTTTCCACATCTCTCGGGGATTTCATCAATGCACTTTAGCATACCTGGGAGTTTTCATAAGATAGACCTAATTTTTGCTTACCTATGAGATTTGAAAAGTCAACAACCTTGAATACTACTACAGCTTCTCAGTGACTACTGCCACTGGAGCGAGTCATCAAAAAATATTTGAAAGACTTTACCTGAGGAACGTTAAGCAGGTCAAGAGCTTTTTGAGAAATCTTTTCTGTGACTGCCCACTGTGCAATTTCCCAATCCAACTGGGAAGCAAAAGGGTGATAGCACTTCTGATCAAGATTATCATCATGAGTAGTAGTACACTACTAAGTTCCTGTTGCCCTTTCGATTTTAAAATACTTTCCCATTGTTCATAGACAGTTTTACGTTTGTTGATCACCTTACCAGCAGTATCTTCCATTGCCAAGTTCTTGGCTCATCTTTGTCATCAACACTGTTGAGGATGCCGGCTAAATTGAAACGTCTTGGAGATGAAGAAGCCTCAGACTCTCCTGAGGCCTGGGGTCAGAAGAGGCGTTCATATCTGAGTCACGGTCTATCATAGAAGAGGCCCCAGTATCCGAATTAGAGGAGCCAGTTTCAGAAACCTCTCCCATATCAATGTCTTCGGATGGATATGTGGGATCAGAGTGGATGCCACTTGTTGAGTAATCGGGAAGTTTGGGCTAGCCGGTTTCAGGGGGGTAGGAAGTCAAACCGGCTTCTGCTTCAGGCTCCATTAACACATCTGGCATATCATCATCTTCGAAGTCTGCATATGATTGAGTCATTCACTGATTAGTAGTTGCACAACTACAAGATTTTAAATAAAGCTGAACATACCTCCTTGCCAGCTGGAAGAGTCAGATTCTCATCGGACAGGAAAGTAATGATGGACAATCAGACACATTGTCTTCAATGTCTGAATTCCCATGATCAGTCTCATCTCCGTAACCAGGGTCAAGTCCAAAGTTGGAGTAACTGTCTTCATCTTGGAATCGCTATATTCTTCTTGGTCATTTATGTTGTACAAATCTACATGCATGGCCTCGTTGGAGCCTAATTTTAGATTATCATTAGGCTGTTGTAAAGGCTGACGCTGTGCATGGCTGGGAAGGCGAGAACGAGCAAGTGCTTCTACTCTTTCATATAGTTTTGGATATTCTATCTATTTGTGTTTCTCTTGGCGCACAATTCCTGCTTATGCGCATCATCCTTAGTCTGTTTTATGTGTCGCTCTAGGTACCCAGCTACGGAAAATTCCCGATAGCATACAGGACATTTGATGGGTTCTGGGGCCATACCGGTAGGAGTACTAAGTTGGGAGGACAAAGTCGCAGAGTGAAAGAACAGAGGGAACATTTATATGAGATTGCTGCATCAGTGAAAATATCAGATGACTATGGTAACTGTTCGAGATCATACAGGATCATACCATCTTGATAAAAGTGAGAATTGGAGTGGATAGCATCTATACTTAGTTCCCATATCTCTTCTATTTTTTTCTGAGCTCCCAGTAAGCAATTTCTGAGTCTTCTGACTTGCTTCTGACTCAAGTTTGAAGTCTGATCTGCATTTTGAACGCAAAGTGAGACCACCCTTGAATATATAGAGCCGTAACGACTTGTACAATTGTTTCAAAAGATTCAGTCGACCATGCCTCGTTTGCAAAAGTCTCACGCGAATCGGATACTGTAATGTTATGTTATTCCGCTTACTCTTTAGAGTAGAGGGTCTTATGGTGCTTGACTTTTTGATCGCGCTTGTTCCAAGATTTGGAAGATCATCCATGGCATATGTCGCACATGTTGTATCTCTTTTTGAGCTGTCAGAAATGTTGTGAGGCCTTGGCCTTGTTGGATGCTTTCAGGTGCTTGCTTAGGGAGGTAGTGGGCACTGCCATGTACTGGCGTTACTGGTTATACCTATTGAATCTACAAAGGTCAGGAAATATTTTTCGCATGTAACAGTCCCGAGTTAGTAACCGACCCAAAAATGACCAGGACACATCTGAGTACAATGCAGCAATTGCTTATGACAAATTCCTTCCTCAGCACCTTTGACAGTTGCACTGTATAAATTATACAGCCCACGTAGTGCAATGGTTAGCATGACCTTACTTGTTAGCTCTGCAGTAAAATGCATTTGGAGGTAGATTGGGGGTCAATTCCCCACGAGGGCGCTGCCTTTTGTTTTGCAACTGAGATGAGGTATAGACAACTTACTGGATGAATGTCAATCATTTTTTTTTAATCTGTTTCAACTTTCATGAACTGACAGAACGTCCACAACACAGATTGAAAGTGGGTGTTTCAGTGCCTTATTTATCAAACCATTAAAACACAAATGATAAGATGGCTATGTGCTGCAGGCACTAAGAGAGCAGCTGTGTTGGAGAATATCACACAGAGGCACACTGTCCAGTTTCATGTCATCCACCTGAAATTGAAAACTGGACGCTTAAATTAGATAAGATAACTTTGTTACCACCCACAAGCCATGATTCATCCTTCTCTCTACTGAGTACTGAGTGCTGAGTGCTGAGCACCAAGTCTGGAAGACGCTAACTGACAAAACCGTGGGCGTCATTTGATATATATCTGCCCGGTGCGAGGCTGTTGAATTTCAGCTACCGCTGACCTATAGGCACTAGTATAGAACTTTTCGCAAATGATCAGTATGTGCTTTCATTCATTCGACAATTGTAACTGAGGCTTAAGTATTAGGGAAATAGCTCTGCGAGGTCATGGTATGCCATCTGTCACATCGAAAGGTTTCCTGCACGAGGATATTGTACGTTTGGTGTATTTGGTGCAGTTGGTATCTCTGGTGTATTTGGTGCACTGTTTGGTATATCTATTGATGTAAGGTGAGTGCATGAGCAAAGTAATTGGCTGGCTAACCAGCTGTGCAGGCTCCCTTTGGTTGTTTGATGTTTGGTAAAACCTGCTGCAAATGTTCGTTAGTCTGCGTATATCCAGGAACTCGACTTTTTGGTGTATCGAACCCTCATTCTACAAAGAAAGGGGAGCTCTGCCATATGTTGCGTTTGGAAATAACCCTCAGTTTTGCTGTGTGATAAAATTCTCTCGTCTTCCTTTCATTAACCGACAGGAAGGTTTTTAGTCCAAGGCGTCCATATACAGAAGTGCTGGATTGGCATCAGGACTCACCCTTCATCCTACGTTTCCTTTGACTCGCTTTGAGAGGCAGGGTTCTTGCTTGTCGGGACATTGTGAGACAATGAAAATGAAGGATGTTCCATAATTCAGAGTTAAATACTCGGAGGTATTAGCGGTGGCTGAATTTATGACTCAAAGTCATGAACTTCCGTCGCTACATCTCAGAGCTTCCTGCCGGACAAACAGATGAACCACGAAGGGGCACTGTCTCAGACTCCCCCTTCAGACAGATGCAAAATCCCGCTGCCAAACACCTCAAAGAGCTGTCGACGCTTATTTTCACATTGTTGCTGCTAGATCCCGTCCTTGTCTACAGATGTTCTATCTGCCTCAAATGATATCATGACAACCGGCGCTCAGGTGTTCAGTCCACTTTTACAACAACAGAAGAGAAATTTCTACCAGCAATCTCAGCTTTGACCCAAACGATTGTGTGGCTTGGAGGATCTTCTCTGTTGTCTCCCCATCATCGAGAGGAACTTTACTGCTTGCCTCTATCAGCACGAGAACCTACTATCCTACGCAATCTTTATCACCTGCGCCAATACTTTCCCGAAATTATATCATCCACGGAGATTGCCCTGTTCCATATATTGGATGCCTAGTAGCGCTATCGCAATTTCCTCGTGGAAGTTTTGAAACACTCAGTGTTCAATGATGGGTAAATGATGATGTTGTAAAAATATCTTGTCAATAGGTGGTGCTCCAAATCCCTGAGAACTCTTGGACTCGGCACTTTGCAAGTTCCTTTTTCAGGATACTCAGTGTGTGCACACCAAAGCCGGGACCTTACCCTCAGAAGATGAACTGGGCATGCAAAAATGGTGTCGCACTGCTGAGGTACGATTCTTATTTTGGTTTACAGGTTTCGCTAAGTTGAGAGTAGAAGGCCCAAGAACTTACAAACTGGGGTCGCGCGTTCATTCCAATTAATGATTTTCACTTCTGCTGCTCAATATGAAGAGCCAGTAGGCTCAAAGCATGACGTTGTAGATATGTATGGAGAAGAACTTAATCATAACGAATGTGAGTGCTTCGTCATTATATCCAATTCTTCCTCATTTACATATTTTTTGGTAGTACAAGGAGTCGATGAAAGTGGCGCCGCATGAGTTGTGCAATTTTTCCGCATGGTGACAAACTAGTACACTTCTGCCGCTTTCATTTGGTATAACGCCTCAAGACGGCTCAACAACTTGGCTATCATGGTGAATCGCTTTCGCTATGATGAGATTGGACCCGAGCCGGGATGTTGTCCCACAATCTTCCCTCCCAACTCTACTGAGTACATCTTGGCAATGTCCGGATATCTAGCTAAATGTATCTGCTTTGGGCTCGCTGTTCCACTTTGCAGTAGCTTCAATGCTATCTGTTTTTCCCTTAGAATCATTCATACACTAGCAGGCCAGCAAATTTCAGATTCAATGAAGCATGAGGGGTACAAGTACAAGTTGAGCAAAAAAGAAAAATGAACAACCCACGTCCCACATTCAGAACCCTTTACACACCAGAAGAGAGAGGAGTAATGAGACATGCTATATGACAGTGGTATTTGACTTTGACATCTGCTGATCAATGCATCCCAGGCGTGCTTGAATCAGCCCAAGTTTCGCCGATTGGTGCAATGAATGATGGAGGCTAGTAAGTACGTTGAGTGATCAAATTGGATAGCAAGGGTACATGTATTCATCAATGGCAGCCGCAGATGGCCCTCTGCTAAAGGAGTGGGCAAAAAGGACTCTTCAAATTCAAACAATAATGATGCCGGAGGAATGAGACCAGTAGAAAATGTTGTAGGAAAGTTCAAATTCATGGGGTGCATAATACTGGAGGAGCTGTGCGAAGCAGAATCTTGGGAGGAGGGAGAGGGCGTATCTTCGATTCCCGCATAAGAGTGCACTCGCTGCTCCTCGGAGCCAGTAAACATGGGGGCAAAACACTGAAGATGCTCTTCCCCGAATTTGAGGTTCTCTTCCCTGATGTGGAGAGCCTCCTCCTTGGACTGGAGTCTCTTCTCTTGGATTCTGAGCCTCTCCTTGTCGTCCCTTATTCTCTCCTCCCTGTTGAAGATTTCATCATCCTTGTCACGGAGCTTCTTCAACCTTTGGTTCACTCACTGTTCCGCAACATGTAGGCTTTTTTGCGGACCAAAACCAGAGGCATTGTAAAGGGCAGCATATTCAGAGTCATTGATGTTCATCCTCTCTTGAACTTGCATTCTCTTCAGAAAGTCCCTCTTCGTACACCCTGTTGAGTAGGTGCATTGTTTCCACAGGAGTGTAAACTCATCGCTGGTGCATTCTATTCCTTTGTGGTAGCACGCCTGGTTGTAACTATCAGTAAATAGGTCTGCCAAAATATTTCAAATACGAACAAGATTACAGTACTTTTGTTTCAGCTCTCGTTTTTTGGCTTTTGTTCCCAGTCCTCTGTAGATTTTATGGAACTCCTTCAATAAGTTATTGCATCAGGAAAAGCCGGTTTTGCCTAGGTGACCCCAGAGTGGCCTAAAGCAAACTAGGTGACCTATGAATCCTATGGCATCCTAGGAATTTGGGCTCGTCCCTTGCCAGTCAAGGCTCTTGAGGATTCCCTAGGGTATCCTAGGCAAACCCAGGGCAAGCCTAGGTTTGCCCAGGTGTTTCCCAGGTGTTCCCCAGGAGCACCTGGGCAAGCCTGGGCAAACCTAGGCTTGCCTAGGGAATCCTCAAGAGCCTTGACTGGCAAGGGATGAGCCCAAATTCCTAGGATGCCATAGGATTCATAGGTCACCTAGTTTGCTTTAGGCCACTCTGGGGTCACCTAGGCAAAAACGGCTTTTCCTGATGTGCTGATCTCATGGGCCTTTGAATTTTCAATAGTCTCCGCATTCTCTGTGTCACAAGCCACCCAACTTTCCTGCCAAATGGTGGACTGTTCTGGTGCATCAGTGCTTGCTGAAGTTTGTGGCTGGCACATTAGATTCTGTCCATAGTAAGATGGGTGTCTGTAGTGAGATAAGGGAGCCCCAGCAGACGTCCATTGCTGTTCAAATGTTTGGCCGGATGTCAAGCCACCTGCGCAGACACAGTGATCCATGAGTAGTTTTCTGTCCGACAAAAGACAGCGACTTTGATCTTTATAACAGTACAAGTACAAGAACTTTCAAGAAAAAGTAATGTGTCCCTTAGCAACAGAAAGAGATCCAGAAAAAATAACTGATATTGTAAATATAGATTTCTTGTTGAGGCAAAGGAATATCCTTAATCAAGTCCTTAATTGACTCAGAGAAACACGTGTCTGTGACTAGCACTGTAAAAGAAGTACATGTTTTTCACTTTGATTTGTTACCGCAATTCTCATTCCACTTGGGAAAAACTAGGCGTGATGTCGATAACAAATACCTTGAAGTTGTTGAAGACACAATACTCAAACTAGCAAACCAATAAACATCAACAATGGAGATGTGAAGACACTAGTGCCGAGAGCAATGTTGTTTACATGCGTCTTTTTCCCTGTTTTTTGGTTACTAAAAAGATTCCAGGATGCAAACAAACTCAAGCTCAAGCTCAACTAGTGGAGTTCCAGCACAAATCAGCGGTAGCGAACGACTGTCATTGATGAATCTTCAGGCCTTCCTGTCCGTCTATAGAATATTGCAGTTGAATATTGAACATTGATCAATAAATACTAGCCTGGTACGTGACATTAGTTTTTCCCTGCTCGCATTAATCTAAAACATTATAGATCCTCCTCCTGATTCCCTCTTTATGAAAGATGCTCTCTACTCTTGCAATTCCTCATGGGTCAACCTTCGAGTAATCAGAATCGCGTACATCCAAAGGAACAACCGGCAACCATGGAACACGCCTGAGATAGGTAGGTAAAAGAACCTATCTCATTGCCTGTACTGTCATCACCCAGATGGCTGAGTGGTTAGGCGGTTCATGGCGGTTCATGCAAATGGGTTGTGGACTGAGGTGGGTTCGACTCCCAGTTTGGGTGCTGCGGGATCTACTCT